GTTTTCGGTGAATTCCTTTTCAAGCCTTTACAATCACATTCATATGAAACAATTCCAATACGATCAAACAGAAAAGTGGATGAGTCATGTGCTTGGCAATGAGCCCAAGAGAACTGAAAATTTGTGCGCAGTTTGGATCCCAGAACCAAAATTGTTACGTCATGGTCGTGTGAACAAGTGACTTTCTCTTCTAGTTCCAGAACTAGTGAGGAGAACCTTACTGGAAAATGGTTATCCTGAGATGTTTACCGACCGTAATTGGAGTGAACAGAATAAACCAACAAAAATGCCAAAAGCGGAGAAGAAAATGCTCTTTATTAAACTTCCATTCAAAGGTGATGCTGCCACTGAGAGGGTTAGTAGAGTTTTATCCTCCGCAGTAAAATCTACATTTAATGTTGCACAGCTAAGATGTGTGTTCTCTACGTCACCAAACATCCGATACTATAACAAAGACAAATTGCCTATGCTGACCTCATCTATGATTGTCTACCATTTCAAGTGCACCTGTGGTGCCACTTACGTAGGTCGAACGACGAGGCAGTTATCTCAACGGATCAAAGAACACAATCCACGCGGGCTCACACAGGGTGGGAGTGGAGCTGTGTCAAGCTCGATCGTCGCTCATCTGGTAGACACTTGGTTGAGATGCCCTCAGCATTTACAATCGTCTATCGAGTCTCACCACACCCCTGGAGAGCAATATGGATTCAGACGTTAGCAACCGCAGAGGCGATTAACATCCGACTCATGGAGCCTGAGCTGTGCGCACAACGCAAACTGATTCAAGCTCTCAAACTCCCCTAGTTAGTTAGGGGAAGAGAAAATCGCTTGTTCACACGACCATGACGTAACAATTTTGGTTCTGGGATCCAAACTGCGCACAAATTTTCAGTTCTCTTGGGCTCATTGCCAAACACATGACTCATCCACTNGGTTTATTCTGTTCACTCCAATTACGGTCGGTAAACATCTCAGGATAACCATTTTCCAGTAAGGTTCTCCTCACTAGTTCTGGAACTAGAAGAGAAAGTCACTTGTTCACACGACCATGACGTAACAATTTTGGTTCTGGGATCCAAACTGCGCACAAATTTTCAGTTCTCTTGGGCTCATTGCCAAACACATGACTCATCCACTTTTCTGTTTGACCGTATTGGAATTGTTTCATATAAATATGATTGTAGAGGCTTGAAAAGGAATTCACCGAAAACATACATTCGCCTACACTGTGTTCCTAACTATTTATCATAAATCGGAATTTGACATGCATATGTCTGAATATGGTAAAGTGTTTCAAAAAGCATTGTAAGAATCTGTACGCTCTCCGGACTTGTTTCAATAGACACCGTGTTTGAATTTTAACGGTACATTCGGGAAAACAAAACCGACCCAAATGGGAACTGCGAACGCGTGAGACTTGCACAGGCAGAACGCCAGTATGCTACCCAAATCCAAATTCGTGAGCTCGTTGCGGGCATCGCAACTAACTGATCTCAACACTAGCTAGCCTCCCGCGGGTTATGACCCGGTTAGAAACGTTCACAACCTGAAGAATTGTAATATGAGACTGACGGAGGATTCGATTCAATTACAAAGAAGGAATTTGTCGTGCACAGAAAGAATGAAGTGTGAACTAAAAAGCTGGGAAGCATTGGACAGCTGTTTCAATCTGGTTGAGTCTCAGCGTAAGTGCGAATCCATCGACTCAACTGGGGATCGAAACCTCTTTGAAACTGAATCAAGTCCTCCATTGTTCATTTGAAACAAGTTGTCAAGTTGTGAATGTTTCCAACCGAATCATAACCCTGGAGGCTATTGCTGAGATGAGCTACGTGCGATACCTGCAACAAGATCGCAAAGATGAGTTGGGCTTTATCGTATAATAAATGGAAAATTAAAAAAAACTGTTTCATTAACTTCTCCAGAGTGGCGGAGTGGGTAGTATACTTGTGTTCTACCTGTGATAAGGTCCCGGGCTCGAGTCCCGAGTTGGGTCGATGTATTCGCACTGCATGGATGAGACCCAACCAGGTCGACACAGCTGTCCAGCGCTTCTTAGCTTTTTAGTTTACGCTTCATTTGTTCTATACACGATAAATTCCCACTTTGAAATTGAATTAAATCCTCCATTACCAACCTACTTCGAATAAAGTTTGAAGAAATACGCTCCGGTGATAGTTTCAGCCTCATTTACCCCCATTCACTTCTCTTTTGGTGGAACTATCAGCAAATTTATGCTCTAAGAATCTTAATAGGAGTACCGTAGATTCTAAAAACAATTTGGTTTCTTTTGCAAGGATTTTAATTGGTGAAATTCGGCAGCTGCTGTACTTTACTGCATGAACTGGTTCAAACACGAATGCAACCCTCTAACAAGTGTGATCCACCGCAGATGAAAAAGTGGAGTTTCTTTGAGAATAGGCTTGAAAACATGTCAATGAATGGTGTCGATCTGAGAGTGTCAACTTGCACAAATAATTCCCTCTTATATTGAGTAGTATATAAGTAACCGCGAAACCGGTCATGTGCTTCCGGGGAATTTTGTCCAGTCATCATTCATTTACTATTCACTACAGAAACACGGAAAATCGGCCGTGGCGTCGAGTTTGGTGGAAGTTAGACTCATCAAAACCCTAATACCTAATACTTCTTCATCGCACAGATTCGTCTAAGCTTTTTCGTCTCGAATTCACTCCCCCCGAGCTGTAAATAAGTTTTGTGATGCATAACGCATAATTGCTGTTTGTTTGCATCCCATCGCCCTCGGTTTTGCATTTTAGGTACATTCCGTACGAAAAATTCACTGAACATGATCTGACGAAATTCCGTGGGTGGAAAGAAAATTTAAAAACAGTTTCGGAATTATTGATTATTTTCTTTGTTGTTGACTTTAGACATCCACATAAAAGGGATTAGGTCTTTCCGCGGAACAACAACATCACCACCGTAGGTATCAACCTTAATCTAACACCAGGATTGACAGAAATATTGAAGTGCACACCCTTGGAAGGTGATTACCAATTCAGGAGAATGCAAGCATTCAACACTTTTCGGCTGCGAAACGGTGAAAAGTTGTTTGGACAAAACAATTTGGTGACCGAACTTCTATCCGTGGTGAGCTATATATGTGCGGTGACCGAATACTGTGTCACATGTGTGCAATGCCAATGTGTTTACGGAACTTTGTTGGGTGCAAATCAAAAATGAACATTGAGATGGAGTTTCGTCGGGATCCACTCACTCGTTACAGTCTATGCGAGGAGCGTGAGGATAAACCTAACAAGGTAACAAGTAAGGTAAATTTCGGATCCGATCTCCCGGTATGCTGCACTGTGAGCGGCAAGATAAAAGGAACGATGGAAAGAACTGAAGCAAATCACTCGCCATATGTTTTGTTGTCCCAAATTAATTGATCTCGACCGGCAGAAGGTATGATTGTTGTAAGGTCAGTTTTTGGAAAGACACACACAGGAGACACGGATGAGTCAATGGAGAAGAACAAAAAACTGTGATACCTCCCCCATTAACAGCTCTCAGATCAGTTTCCAGTTGTGAACGCAATTTGCTTCTAGGTTCGCAATGATTAGGGACCGAGAAGGAGAGAGAGAGAGAGAGAGAGAGAGAGACAGGGAGCAAGGGCGGTCAA